GACACACACACACACACCCGCCTGTGCCGCGTATTTGTCTCCAGAGCGTCGCAATCTCCTCGCGACGCCGTCACCTTGTCGCATCGCCACGCAGGCGTACGCCGAGCGCGCGCTCAAGCGGCAGAGAGGCGGCGCCCACGGTGAGATGGGCAGCGGCGGCCAGACCTACGAGGTGTCACACACATGCACGCACGCACGCGCGCACGCACACACACACACACACACACACACACACACACACACACACACACACACACACACACACACACACACACACACACACACACACACACACACACACACACACACACACACACACACACACACACACACACACCTCAGCCACGTGCACTGGGCCTTGCACCTTATGCCATGGGGCTCCTGCCTTTCGATAGACGTGGAGTCGCGAGGGTCGGTGGGTCGCTGGGCCCTTGCCCCGCCCTTGTGTGCGTGGAGACGTGTACCTTACCTCAGGTGTCTCACGAGGAGTTCGCACTCGGCCTCGCGATGATTGCGCGAGAGTTTGGCCGCCCGCAGCCGCACTGAGCGGCGCGGCGTCGGAGGGGCGCATCTGAAGTGGCGCTTGTGATTGCGTCCCGCCGCGTGTGTTATCTTGTGACTTGTAGTTGTACCGCGCACCGGCGCCCGCCGCCGAGTGGTACCGCGAGACGAGAGCTATTTCATGTATCAGGGCTTGGCGGTGGCCGGAAGAATTCTTTTTGTCCGGCCGACTACAGTCTACACGGTGAGCCATACCCCCTCCCGGGCCTTGGGGCGAGCCGCACAGCCGGCCTGGGTTCCATCTTCCAACTTTTTGCGGGGTAATGGTATCGTGTACCCTCACGGCCCAAAGCGCAAAGGGGTGGGGGGGGGGGTATGGTCTTGACCGCCCAAGACTAGCCCTACCATACCCCCAAGCAGGTCTGCCAGCAGGCGGGGGACCACACACACACGCTAGGTTGGGTTAGGTTACACGCGGGCATGTATGTAGGAAGGTGAAGAACAGCCAGGCTCGGACTGGACACCAACGCGGTATGGGTGGACGCTGGACAGATGATGACGACACGCACGAGCGACACACAGACACAAACAGGCTCACAAGACACAAAGCGGAGGGCACCCCTTACGCCGCAAAAGTCCGAACCCTGCAACGCCGCATGGCAGGAACTCGCGGTGGTGCCGTTAACCCGCTTGAGCCGCTCCTCGCAAAGTACCGCACCATCCAGGGAGAGATCACCAAGCTGCAGACGGGCGCGTCGCAGGCGACGACCCAGGTCTGCGAGAATGAGCTGGTGCGCCGTGGAGGCTGTACACACGGGGCCGCCTCTCGCATTTGCGCCGATGCAGCAGCGGCCCTCTCGCCGCCCGCCGCCCGCGGCCCGTGGTCTGCTCGCCGCGCAAGCCGCGGCTGCCGTGTCGCGCCGCCGGCCGCGCTGCCTGCCGTGCCGCCGCCCTCTCCTTCGCCACCGTCCGGGCTTACGCCCCGCGCCACCGATGCCGCCGCCGCCGCTATCGCCGCCGCCCTCATCTCAACCGCCGCACTTACGGCCGCCGCCGCCCTCCGCCCTCGCGCCTCCACCTCGCCGCCTCTGCCACCACCATCACCGTTCGCCTCCCAGGTGCTCAAGGAGCTCGAGCTGTTGGAGGAGGACGCGCAGGTGTTCAAGCTCATCGGGCCGGTGCTAGTCAAGCAGGAGCTTGTCGAGGTCAAGTCGAACGTGCGCCGCCGCCCGCCGCCCTCCCACGCCGTCTCTGCCGCCGCCACCCCGCCGCCCCACGAAGGCTTGGCAGGTAGGCAGGTAGGTTTCTCCACACACAGTGGCTTGCAAGGGGGCAAGGGTGAGGACCCGGCGCAGGTGAACAAGCGGTCTCCTCCCGGCGCAGGTGAACAAGCGGATCGAGTACATCAAGGCGGACGCGACGAGGATCGAGCGGAGCCTGAAGGCCAAGAACGACGAGCAGAACACCGTCAAGGAGCAGATCCAGGCGTTGCAAAAGGGAAAATGAACAGCACTTTTACGTAGATCTAATAAATCGAAATCGTGCGCCTTCGAGCCCTCTCCACTCTTCCTGTGTTCCCTGACGCTCCTCGACCGGTCTCTGGCCGAGTTTTTTTGCGGTATCGTCCGCGGCGCGGGGGCCCGGCGGCCGGCGGCGTGCAGGCTGCGCCTGCAGCTGCACACGGCGCACTTGCGACTTGGGAGCACTTGGAGTGCAGTTTCGCGAGGCGGTTTTTGCGAGATATTTGCGTGCTCTACGTCGGGTGTAAAGTATAGAGGGTGTGGACCGTGAGTTGAGGAAATCCGGGGACGCGACCCACTTCGCCACAGACGGTTCCCGCGCCTCGCCGCAGTGTAGCCGTCTTTGTCCGGGATATCCCTAACTTTCTTTCTCCCCCGTCGTGCGATGCGAGGGAGGGAGGGGGGAGGGAGTTGGTTGACGGTTGTGCGTGCGTAACTTTTTTGTCTCGCGAGTTCGCTAATCACGGACATGGACTGGCTTCACACCTGTTTACCGGCGCACGTACTACAGTTGTAGTACGGCAACGAGAGCAAGAACTCATCCGAGGAGGACGTACGAATCCCCCCCCGGACACGGCTCGACTAGTCGGTCGCATCTTGGGCAGAGGCACCGCGATGGCGGGCGTGTGGCACGCGGCGGGCGTGCTGTCGGACGGGCTGCTGCGTGCGCAGACGGCCGCCACCGTGAAGCGCGTCTTCGCGCCAAAGGTGCACGGCGGGTGGGGCCTGCACCGGGCGGCTGCCCCGTCGCCACTCGACGCGTGCGTGCTCTTTTCCTCCATCGCCGCGCTGATCGGGGGCGGCGGCCAGTCCAACTACGCCGCCGCGAACGGCTGCCTCGACGCGCTCGCCGCCTGCCGCCGGTCGCGCGGAACGAAAGCGGTCTCGATCGAGTGGGGCCCGTGGGCGGAGGTCGGCATGGCGTCGGACGCGTCGGTGAACGCACGCATCCAGGCCAGCGGCATCGGCCTCATCAGCGCGGAGCAGGGAGCGCTGGCCTTCCAGGCGGCGCTCCAGCCGACTGCGCCCGGCGTGGTGAGCCTGGCCGTGCTCACCTGGAGCAGATTCCTCGGCCTGCTTCCGGAGGTGCCGCCTCTGTTCGCCGACTACGCGAGCCGGAGGAGCACGGCGGTGGGCGGCGGCTCGCAGGGCGAGGTGAAGGAGGTGACGCTGGAGCAGATCCAGGAGATCCTCAAGTCGACGACCGGCAGCGAGGTCGACCCCGACGCGCCGCTGATGGAGTCTGGCCTCGACTCGCTTGGAGCGGTCGAGCTCGGCAGCCAGCTGCAGGCGCAGTCGGGCATGGCGCTGCCGTCGACGCTCATCTTCGACTACCCGACGGCGCGCGCTATTGCCAACCATATGCGCTCTTCACTGGAAGATGCGCCTCAAGAGCAGTTCGCATCCGCAGCGACGCACGAGACCAATGCCGATGTTGTACGCATGGCTTACATGGCGTCTCACGCGCCAGCGGGATCGCATGGGCCCTGCAGCGCGATGATGTGGCTAGCGGCTACTACGGGCACGAATGGTATCGTTCCGGTGCCGGTGACGCGCTGGGACCCCGACGACACGACAAGCACCGTGTACGACACCGTGCCCTGTGTCGTCATCGACCGGCAGCGGAACGCGGGCTTCCTGCTCGACTCCGACCTCTTCGACAACGCATTCTTCGGCGTCTCGCCCGCCGATCGAGTGGGGCCCGTGGGCGGAGGTCGGCATGGCGTCGGACGCGTCGGTGAACGCACGCATCCAGGCCAGCGGCATCGGCCTCATCAGCGCGGAGCAGGGAGCGCTGGCCTTCCAGGCGGCGCTCCAGCCGACTGCGCCCGGCGTGGTGAGCCTGGCCGTGCTCACCTGGAGCAGATTCCTCGGCCTGCTTCCGGAGGTGCCGCCTCTGTTCGCCGACTACGCGAGCCGGAGGAGCACGGCGGTGGGCGGCGGCTGGGAAGGGGGGGCGAGGCCGGAGGAGTAACACGGCTCGTCCAAATTCTAAAGGGGTTCCGAATTCTTTTCCGACCAAGAGCTGGCTGGGGCTGCAGAAGCAGCGCATCTCAGTCGTTCTTCACACGGCCATCGCAGAGCAGGTCGTGAATGAGCTTGCCTGCCTGTGGCGGGGGTGGGCGGGTGCACGGAGCTAAGTGCCTCGCCACCCTCGCAGGAGTCGCTTAGTTAGGCGGCTCCCGTGGTGTACCTGTGTTAGTGCCAGTGCGCGCCAGTCCCGTGCCCAGTGTAGAAAGAAAGAAAGAAAACAGACAACCCAAGGGAGGGATGGGAGGACGGCACGCCGCCACCACGTTGTGCGAGGGAGTTCTTGGAAGATTCCTTCCTGAATGCGATCCCCATGCGGGATGATATGAAGATGGAGACGTGGGCGATGCGCATTACAGTTCAGCGCCGCCTCGGCCTCCCGCTCGATGTTGCCTGCCAGGCGGGGAG